CCCGCCGCCTTAGGTGTATGTGGCTGGCGCCTTAGCCGCTTGAGCCACAGGCGCCGAGCCAGGGACAGTTTTTTGAGACAGTCTTATGTTGTTCAGGATAGACTGCCTTGGCATCAGCCTAGCTCATAGCAATCTCAAACTCCTGAGCTCAAGCAATCCTCCTCCCCTCATCTTCCTGAGAAGCTGTGACTCTATAGGTACTCGTCACAAAGTGTGGCTAATTTTTCTATTTTTAGTGGAGATGGGGTCTTGCTCTTACTCAGGCTGGTCTTGGAACTATTCAGCTCAAGAGATCCTTACTGCCTCAGTCTTCCAGAGTGGTAAGATTCCAGATGTGAGCCATCAGGCCAGGCTGGGACACCTGTATTGTGATTACCTGTTTTCCTTTCTCCTTCACCAAACTCAGTCCCCTTATGAAATGGGGTAGTAATGTCATTATTCCCAGCATCTAACCTGACAAATGCCAGGTATTAAAAGTGTAAGTGAAAGATGCTGTTGTCTGACACTTTTCTTTTCCTTTCCTAACAGTTGTTAGCCCTGAAGATCAGGCTACCCCAATAGGAAGGCTGAAGGTTTCCCTTCAAGCGGCTGCTGCCCTCCATGCTATTTACAAGGAGATGACTGAGGACTTGTTTTCATGAAGGAACAAGTGCTATTCCATTCTAAAATCTGAGGGAAACTTATAGTTAAAAAGTCTCTTATAAAGTAACTTGGTATACCGTGAATTTGGCTTACTGTCGTATCTAGTATCTTTGAACCTAATTATGAAAGTTCACTTTTGGGACACTAGCTGGATAAAGGCATTTTTCTCTAACACCTTAGTGCTTTATCAGGTGAGAAGCAGGCTGTCAGGAACTGAAGTATGATCACAAAAGGTAAATTTACAAAAACAAAACAACAACAAAAAAACCCACAGTTTATTTAGCTTTTAGTTCTTCCAAAATTGAAAATATCAAGTCCTACTGCTAAAGAGAAAAAAACAAACAAACATAAATCCAAGACCCCTCCCCCCCTCTTCTCTTAAAAGTCACAGAACACGAAAAGAACCGCAGTGGGACAGGTGGGTGCAGAGAACCAGAAGGGGAGGATGGCAAGATAAACTCCCCAAAATACTTAAAAGCTGTTCAACAGAAACTGTGATAAATACAAGACAATGCAAGACAAGTAAAAATAAGGAGCAGCAGTGATGAGAGGCTGTGTGGTAGATATGGCCTCCCTTCCTCTTCTCTTTCCTCATCAGGGTATTCTAGGCCCAAGGCGTGACTTGCCCCTTCCAGATTTAAATGTTGACACCTTTGAACCTTTCTCAAGATTTCACTAGAAGCAGTATTATGAGGCACACCATTCTTCCTTAGATATATCAGAAGAAAAAGAAGACAATGGTAATTTTGCCTATTATCATGTACCATGTGTGAATTTGTAAGGAGAAATAACTGAACCACGGTGTGTCACTGCTTCTTATGTCTTCCAAGGCAGCAGAAATACCTCAGAATCTGCGTGAGTCAAGAAAACAGGAAAACTCAGACGAAGGCACCAGCCCAAACTGCCTCACTAGCTCAAGTTGTCTGGTTTATCACAACCACTAGCAAATTCCAAGAACCTCTTCTTGAGTATTGCCAAGATAAAACTTAAAGAGATGTGAGGAAGGTCATGGCAGTAGGGTAGGATGGAGGATTGAATCTGCTGGTCAAGAACCATGGTACAGGTAGCTAAGGGTCACTTTGTACCATTGTCTTGGAAATATGGCTTTGAGACACCAAAAAATAAGATGTCAGAAGCCATCAATGTCCTGGCAGGTGACAGGAAGAGAGAGGAATGAAACGGTATTTATTAACAGTGGCAGCCTCCGCCCGTCTTCAAGAACACCTCCCTTGCCATCTGAATGGGGCCATTGGCATGGGTCCTGGTGGGCCTGGAATTCCCGGAGTAGATTGGTCCACACAAATGGCCCCCTAAACCCATAAACACAAATGGCAAAACTTCAAAAGAAAACAAAAGGAAAAATACAGTTTCTATGTCATGTAAAATTTTCAGGGGTTGGCTGGAGGAAGAATGGAGCTCAGGGCCAAAGTTCAGAAGTTACTTCCTCTTTTTCTTGGGGGGTGCAGAGCTGTGTCTGGAACCACGGTTAGAGCCACGGCCCGAACTATGCACAGATGCCTTCCTCTTCCGGCTCATACTTCGACTCTGTTCTTCTTCTTCCTCATAACGACTTTCACGGTCCGCTAAATAGAAGAAAGGTATTATTAGTTAATTGTAGATTAGCTTTAGGTACCTAGTATTATTGGAAGAATGTACTTTGGAGTCAGGCTTGAACTTTAATCTTTACTCAGTCACTCACTAATTGTGAGATTTGGGCAAATATTTAACTTTTCTGAGCCTTGGTTTATTGATTTATAAGAGGGAGAATGATTTAAAGATTAAATAGAGTAACCTATGAAAAATACCTATCACAATGCTTTGGACACAGTAAATAATAAATTTTCATCTTTAACTTATATTTGGTTTTTTAAATAGAATCAGATTAGCATCATAAAGATATTCCCAATAGTCAAGAGGTCCAGAAAGTTAGACTATTAAAAGATGTAGGTTGGGAAACTTAGTAGGCAAATTCAGGATTCTTACTTGACTATGTGTCTATCATGGATATTTGCCCACCATGGGTTTGGGCAAATTTAAAAAAGCCAGTCAGTCAGAATCATGCCCAATGAACACATTTATGGATTTCATTTTCCCCTTTGGTCGATGAAATTGTAGCTTGGGCTCTGAATCAGTTGTATAGCATTCTTTTGTTACTTTCATTAGGCTACTACCACTACCACTTCAAAATAACAAAATGTTAAAAATTTGTACATAAATAAATGAATGAGTAAAATAAACAAAAGCAACAACATATTTTTTTAACCTTTCCGGGCTTCTTCCTCCAGTTCATCCCAATCCTTTCCACTCTCTTCTTCACTGCCCAGTGATTCCTTAGAATAGTCTGAAATAAAATTAATTAAGCATTAGTCATCATAATGCAGGAATGGAATGAAATGACAGAATTCTTCTCTTCTAAAAAAGCACTTTTGGGTGACACCTGTGGCTCAGTGAATAGGGCGCCAGCCCCATATACCGAGGGTGGTAGGTTTCAACCCAGCCCCGGCCAAACTGCAACAAAAAAATAGCGGGGTACTGTGGCGGGCACCTGTAGTCCCAGCTACTCAGGAGGCTGAGGCAAGAGAATTGGCTAAGCCCAGGAGTTGGAGGTTGCTGTGAGCTGTGACACTATGGCACTCTACGAAGGACGACAAAATGAGACTCTGTCTCTTAAAAAAAAAAAAAAAAGTACTTTTCAGAAATCATATCAGATTAGGAAGCCACGATAAACTTTTCTCTTTTTTTGAGACAGAGCCTCAAGCTGTCCCCCTGGGTAGAGTGCTGTAGCATCATAGCTCACAGTAACCTCCAACTCCTGGCTTCACGCGAGTCTATTGCCTCAGCCTCCCAAGTAGCTGGGACCACAGGCGCCCACCACAACGCTGGCTATTTTTTGGTTGTAGCCATCGTTGTTTGGCAGGCCCGGGCTGGATTCAAACCTGCCACCTTAGGTGTATGTGGCTGGCGCCTTAGCCACTTGAGCCACAGGCGCCGAGCTGACAAACTTTTCTCTATAAAAACTAACCCGATTCTTCTGCTTCTGAGGAATAATCTTCATCACTATCCTCTTCCTCTTCTTCATAGTCATCTTCTGAAGGGTTAAAAGTTTCATCTTCAATTTCAGACTCTGAATCTCCTTCCTCAGCATCACTCCCCTGGTAAGTCAGAAAGAACATAATAATATTTACTGCTTTTGTTTTTATTTTTGTACATCCATCTTATCAACAGTAAATTAATTTAACCCATTTTTAACAAAAACAAAAAACCTGACCAAGAGATAAACAAAATTTTTTTGTCTACAATATCTTTCTTTCTTGTTTACAATATCAACTTAGTAAATTAATTTAACCCATTTTAACAAAAACAAAAAACCTTAGTGACCAAGAGATAAAATATCTTTCTTGTACTGGTAAGGTACAGTATTAGGTACCTTAAACATCTAATTCACATTTTTCAAAGATTGATCACATTCTTCCACACAAATTAACAACAGAAAGACCCTTTATAATGTATTATCCAGAAGTGGGAAGGCCACTTTTTAGAAAATAAATTTTTCCCCTAATGTCTTCAAAATCCTTTTTCCAAATACTAAGACATTCACTGAGGAATAGTTTTTATAATTTCAAAGAAATCTTGCCAGTGGCTATCAATGCCCAATCAATTTATCATTTGCCTATATAATTAGCTTGGAGAACTACGTAGTAATAATACCACCTTGTGTTCAGAGCTTCTCCCAGTAGGTCCTATATACTTACTATGTATATGCCATTCTCCTAACTGCCCAGATGATAGCGGGCAACACTGTGTACCAGAAAAGAAACCCACACTCACGCACCTCACCCTCAGGCTCTAGGAAAGACCAGCCACCTTGTTCAAAGAAGCCTTCAGGGTCATCAACAATGGTCTTCATGATTTTAGTCCAATTGAGGGACTGTACTCCTTCTGTGTACTTCAGGTCACAGGAACTGAGATAATGACATTACAAAGTCAAAACCAATCTTCCATATTTTCTGAGAATGTCCAGTGTCACCCTAAACTTTAGCATCTCTAAAGCACATAATCTTTTCCTAATTACATGAAAGCAGATATTCTGTGGACTATGCCACTGCCAGAGTATGCCCAAATGCCTGATATCTCACAACAGCTGGCATTCTCGTGAAGCAAGTTTTGTCCCTCAAGCAAGCCTGAGCTTATCCTCTCTTCCATTTTCTTCCTCAAGACCAATTTCTCTATTCTTCCCTTATTCTTCCTATTTTTTCCCCCTGCTCTCTTCTTTCCCTCACTGATTCTAGTCTTTTTTTTTTTTTTTTTTT